CATTTTCTTGATTTACTTTATTTTTCAATTACATCCCTTTTTGTTTTATTTCATTTAATTTTTATACAAGATTTGTTCCTCGTTCATTTGATTGCTATTTGTTTTATTTTTAATTTTGGATGGTTGGCAGTTTTGTTTCATGTATTTTTTTTGTTTGTCTTTTATATGGTAATTTGGTCTCATAACCCAAGTTATGAATTTTAAAAATTAGCTCAGTTGACTTTGGTGTTTTTAAATTATTATTTTTAAGTTATATCCTTCAATATTATATTATTGGGCTTTTAGCTTTGTGACTTTTTTTTTTTATGGAATTATTACAATTTCATATCCTGAGTCACGAGTTAGTCGATTGAACTAAGATTCACTTAGTTTTTTTTCAATATTTTTTTATTGTTTTTTTCAATTTAGCCATTCATTATTTTGTTTACTTAAAAGTTGATCTCTATTTTTTATTCAACTTTTTTTTGTATGAGGTTTTTCCACCTTTACGAGTAGATTGCAAGTTTGTCATGCTGATTAGAATCAAGTTTTTTTTTCTCTTTTTAAATTTGTTTTTTCAATTTGTCCTTCAAAGTTTAATTTGTTAGTAGCTAAATTTTAGATTTTTATTTTATTTTTCTCTCAATAAGATTATCCCGTTTTTATTTAATTTTTACTTTGTTATCAAATAAGATTAATAAGATATTTTAAAAATATTTATAGGGTATATTTTCATAATTTTAATAAGTGTTCGTTTCTTTTATTAGTCATTGCCATTTTTTTTTTATTTTCACTTACTTTTTTTTTATATATAATTATATTATTAAATTAATCAAGCTTATTGAACCTACTAGAATCAATAATTTGGGTTTTAGATTCTTTTTACTCTTTTAAAAATGCTATCATTATCTAAGTATTTTTTTTATGATAAAAAAAATAACTCAACTTGCAGCTTAGCACGGCCATCTATCAAGTATATAATTAAAAAAAAACAGGGTATTTCATTATAGCCTAACTTACTATAACTATCCTTATAATTTCATCATGATTTTCACTATTCATTTTCAACTGTGTAGTTTTTTTTTTTCATTTTGGTTGTCAAGCTATTAATGTTTGCAATTTCATTCTCAAATGTTACTATACCACTTCTTCTTTTTTTTTTCATTTCATTCAGTTTATGTTTTCTCGCACATGCTAAGTCTTGATTATATTTGAAGATGAATTGGATTCTAATTTTATGAAATTAGAATTTAATTGTGGTTGAAAATATAAATTAAAAAACGAGTATTATATTTGATGAATAACCAAAAAAAGCCCCATTTAGATTTTAGTGTGGAAAAATTTAGATCAATCCCTAAAATTTCATCTTTTCTATCATTTAGTTGTTTTTATTTTGACAATTCACGTTTTGATACTAAACTTTATTTTCCTAATATTTTGGTTCTTGTATATTGAGAAAGGAAAGAAAATATCGATAAAAAAGTTTAAAGAGAGAGAAAGTTCATTATCTTGAAAATGGTTAAGGATGTTTTAGGTTTGAAAATGAGTTTAATGATATTCATATAGGGTTTTTAAGGTTTTTTTAATAGAAAATGAGTTAAAATTAGTTTTTGAAGTTCAAAAACTTGAAATTCAATTTCAACTATTTGATTTTTATTTCTTTTATTGCTATTTTTTTTTAATTTTCTTCATTTATTTTATTTTTTTAATTTCATTTAATATTTATACCAGATTTAGTCTTTATTCTTTTGATTGCTATATTTTTTTATATCATTTTCTTGATTTATTTTATTTTTCAATTACATCCCTCATTGTTTTATTTCATTTAATTTTTATACAAGATTTCTTTCTCATTCATTTGATTGCTATTTGTTTTATTTTTAATTTTGGATGGTTGACAGTTTTGTTTCATGTATTTTTTTTGTTTGTCTTTTATATGGTAATTTGGTCTCATAACCCAAGTTATGAATTTTAAAAATTAGCTCAGTTGACTTTGGTGTTTTTAAATTATTTTTTTAAGTTATATCCTTCAATATTATATTATTGGACTTTTAGCTTTGTGACTTTTCTTGTTTTTTTTTTTTATGGAGTTAT